AATAGTTCTCAACCTCAAGCCAACATCTTCTTCCAACCGGACAACCTGGGTGCTCTCAGATACCTGTGGCTGCAGGCTAAACTAAACTCACCATCTCTTTGACGTCCATACAAGACAAGTTTGCCCGCCTTTTCATGTCTATCGCAGCTGAATTGTGGCTGAGGGATGCGATTGATACAGTAGAAGAAGTATTTAAGCACGTAGCCCGCAATTTCACGCTCCGGCTTGCAGAAAAGCTTGCGCAGTACATCTGCTCGCTGACTCGACGAGCGGAGTCCTTGGCGACTCCAGAGACTGAATGCCTTCTGTATGCTACGTATTGGTTTCGTCCAATCCTCTCTGAGCTAATCGGAGCAGCCACGGAAAGTGCAGACGTGAACCGAGAACGTGCCCCCAGTGGCCCCGTGAAAGTTGTGGTCACCAACCGGCCCCACTCCCGGCGCCACAATGGTATCGATCTTGTCAGCGGGGTCTCGGCCCTCCTGGCGTGGTTTCCTGCAAGCTGGGCTAGCAAGATTGCACCGTGCTTCATAGGGGAAGAAGGTGGCTCCATACAACTTCCGCAAGAAGTTGCCATTGTATGTCCTCATCGGGAGTTCGAAGGACTGCAAAGGGATGCTGTTGACCAAGTGCTGCAGGCAGTCAAGTTCACCGACAAGAAGGCCCCTGGATTGAACTTGGCGCTGGATGAGGAATTCCAAACAGCCAATTGTTTTACGGAACTCATTCGTGGTTACACAATGGGCGCAGTTGAACCCTACACCATGATGGGTCTGCAACCCACTGGACCCACGAGAGTCAACTTGGAAGTCATCATACCATCCCCAACAGGATTGACTCCAGAAAAGTGGAAGCAGACAGCAACTCTGTGCCCATTAGATTGGCCGTCGAATTATAGCCTCCTCAGATTGTGGCACACGACCAAAAGCTTCCACCAGTATGCTGCACAACTCAAGCAGCAAATGCAGCATCGCCATATGTTTACCCACCCAATAGACTGGCTAAGACAAAAATTTGTCCAATAGTTAGATTTTTAAAATTTGTCTAATAGACAAATTTTAAAAATTTGTCTTAGACAAATTTTTGCTCGACAGATTTGTCTAAGACACGAGTCTTAGACAAATAAAATTTGTCTAAGTCAGATTTTTGCCCACCCTCCACGAGGAAGTTTCGAGGAAATTTCCTGGAAATTTCGTGTGTTTTGTGAAACTGCCTTCAAACTACCTCATGCTTTAAAGGGAAACTTCCTCACTTTTTTGGGGATTTTTGGGGAAACTGCCTCACTATTTCTCTTACTTTTTGCACACCCTCCACAAAATGATGGAAAAATGATAAGGTAGTTTGGAGGCAGTTTTGGAGGCAGTTTTGAGGCAGTTTGAAAAAGATCAGATGTAGTTTCAATTTGTCTAAGACAAAAAAATTGTCTAAGACAAATATTTTTTTGTCTAAGACAACTTTTTTTTTGTCTAAGACAAATTTTCAAAATTTGTCTTAGACAAAAAAAAAGTTGTCTTAGACAAAAAAAATCTACCTAATAGTCAGATTTCTACAGAATAGGGATTAGACAAATTTTTGTCTTAGCCAGTCTATTGGGCACTGGGAAGTCAACCGCACTCGGTTGGCTAGTAGGGTGCTCTTCCAGCGACCAGCCCACTATGTTCCAGAAGCCACGCTTAGGCAACATGTGCAAGAAAGGGTATTCCCCGATAGGCGATTACGTAGGAAAACGCAAGAGACTGACAGGGTTGCCTTTCAGGCAAAATGCAATGAACTGCGGCTCCATGCCGCAGGGGAGGAGAGGCTTAATCCTGTCTCCTTTGCAATCGGAAACAGCTGGACTGACACTCTCCGAGCAGATAAACAACACTACCTTGAATATACTACACGGAGTTTGACGTAGCGACCCTCCCCCCTTCTTCTCCTCTCCCCTTGATTTTGTTGTCTCGCTTTTGCCGTTTTGGTCTCCTGTGCCCTTTGTCCCTGGGCACCGCGTCGTGATTTGCTCCCGCTTGCTGCGGTGTGGTGGGGGTCTTTTTGCGGGCCTCCGTGGGGTCCTGTCCCCTCCTGGCCCCCGTTTTTGTTAGGTTGATTTTGCGCGTTCTTGGTTTGGGCCGTGCTCTCCCTGCCGTCTTTTGTCCTTGGTCTTGTGTTTCGCTTCCTCTCGTGCTTGGCTCCTTTTTGTGGTGTTTTTGTTGTGCTGGTGTTTCTGCCTGCGCTTTTGCGGGTGTCTTTTCTTTGCCGTTGTGTGCCTCTCTGTGTGTGATGGGGTTTCTTTGTGTTTGTCCTTTGCTTGGCTGTTGTCGGCTCCCCTCCCCTGCCTGTTGTTGCTTCCCTCCCCCCTGTGGTTGGTCCCTTGTGGCGTCCTGGCCCAGTTTTTTTGCTGGTCCCTCCCTCTGGGTATCTGGTTGCTTTTGTGACGGCCTGGTTGCCTTGCCTTACTGCTTGGGGTGTGGTGGTGCTCTGTCGTCCTCACTTCATTTTGTCTCATGGCAGCAAAGGCCTTTGGCCCTGTGTGGGGTTTGTTTTACCCTCTACACCATGGTGCATGTGTTGTTGGGGTGCTCAGTACTCCTACGCTGAGGTATTCATCTGCTGATGATCCAGGTCCCCCATTGGACACCGCTAAGCTACACTTTTGCCACTCTTGGCAGTAAGTGCGGCATACTCCGCCCCTGTCCTCTTCTGCCTTCCCGGCGCCCCCTCTCTCTGCTCCTGTTGTGGTTGTGTCTTGGTTCTTTGCTTGTTGGTACCTTCCTTCTCTTCATGCATTCTCCCCTGCATTCACTTAGGCGTGAGACGTCTGGAGCTAAGATTGTTGCGAGAGTGTTTTTTAGTTTTGTTTGGTGTGCCTTCGTTGTTTGTGGATGTTGTTTGAGTGGCAAGGAAAAAGCAGTGCTCACTAAGGTGACTAAGGACTGGACTCTTTTGGCGCCCCCGAGGGCCCCTGTTTTTGCCCCTCTTCCGTTAGCTTTGCCCTCCTCCGGGGGTGGTTTCTACCTGAATTCGTTTGTCTCGTCTGAGTTTGTATTGGGTGTCCTTTGTCCGGTGGCTTTACAGGGTCGGTCTTGTCTATCTGAGAGGGGCGGTAGGTAGCCGGCCGAAGCCATGGACCAGGCTGCGCTGCAGTGAGTCTCACTGGAGCAATCCAGTGGTGCTCCCTGTAGGACAGCCTGGGGCGCCCGCGAGCAGCACAAGTCTGCCTGCATGGTTCGTTCGTTGGTGGACGAGAATTGGTGACTCTGCAGCCTGCCTACTCTGCGGGTGAGTGGTACGGGTTTGGATGCACTACTAACGTCTACTTTGCATACTGCAATGCACTGCAGGTCTTTCAGGGACGATGACATCCTGAAATGTCTTGAACAGTTCTGCGGTCGGCATGTTTAACGAACCTGCAACAAGTGGAGCTACGTTGTCGAATGTCAAGTTGGTAGGGCGAACCTGCTGTTTTGCAGTCATGTCGATTTTCGGCTTGCTTTCGCTGTCCAAGCGTGGAGTCATCGCACTTTTCTGGCTTCATGCTATCTGCACGACTGAAGATATTATTGCATGCTTTTCGTCTATGCGAGCGTTGCCTATAGCTGAGGAGTGCTACTGGCTGAGCTCATTCACTGTGCAGGCAGACACTTCCCCCCTATGAAATTAGGGGCCCTGCACTACATGATTTACGAAGGCTGTATGGAAGTTTTTCACTGGCTTGCGAATCTTCCTATGCGCCACTACCGTCCGCCCCCCCTACTGGGGGGGTACCTGGTACAATGACCACCACGACATTCTTGCTCACAGAGAATAGATGATGGTGATCCCGTCCATGGAGGCCTTCTGTACAAGCTTATCTGAGAGGACGCTGAGAGAGGCACATTTGTAGACCCGTGCTCATGTACAGCTTCGGCACATCTATGCCAAAGTAGACAGGCAGAATGCTTAGGCCTTCATGTCTTCTTGAATGTCGTGGTTCTTAATTCATTTTTGCATGTTTTTGAGAGTGATGCAGTGGTCAGACCACTGTGTCCTTTGGCAAATCTTTTTGGTGGGTGTTTTTGTTTGGGCTCCTGCCCCTTTTGTGTGTCTGGTTTGTTGTTTCTCTTGACGAAACGCAAGTCTGGCTGGGGGATTTGCGGGTCGTCTGACTGGTCTGTGTGAAGGTTGGTTTGTTGTGATTTGCCTGCATTTCCGGACCTTTTCGGTCCTTGTACAAATTTACGTTTTCACTGCTTATGCTCATGTAAGGACCGAGCCACAGTGCGACATCGGCCACACTCGAGGAAAAAAAAAACCAGGCATACTTTGAAAACATCTCTGTGCTGCGCATTCTATTGGAGAAAGCCATGCCATGACCACACCTTCGATCTGCTGTGTTTTCATATGTACAAACCCCAATCAAACCTGCTCCACTGGGCGCGCTCAGTGTGTCTATGTGAAGCACAGTTTTGGCCGGGTGGGTGGGTGGAGCTTTATGTTTGGGTTCTTGCCCATTGCCTCAGTGGGTTCGTGGATGTCGCGAAGGTTCACTTTATTTGGTTTTACTGACTGCTGCAAAAGACGTTTTTGCTTTGACACTTTTGGAAGATGTTCAGACGAAGTTGCTTCTTGATTTATTTTCAGGAGATGCAGTTCAATACAGTTTGGTTGCCTGTGCTTTGCTGTCTTTCTCAAACGTTGCTTTTATTCAAAGATTTGTCGGTTGCTTGAGTTGAAACAAATTGGAAACAAGTTGAACGTGGAGTTCATGTCACTGGAAGTCATACAATATTTATATTCCGACGAAGCTTGGGCTATCAAAGAATTTCAGGTAGTCTGGGGGCGTTTCACCTTCCAATCAAGATTGGACGTAGTATTGATGGAGAATGGGCAGCTTTGTGGAGTGGCCTTTAATTGATCCTGGCATTTTGAGTCACTTGCAGCTTCTCTATCCGACTCCATTGCAGCTGGATGCAGCGTTTGACAACCAGGAGGACTGCGAGGCTTTAGTGGCGTGTGGTTTTCCTGCAATAGTGGATGAGATGAAGCTGGACGTCGTAGCTCACTTGATGTTGTGGAAGTGGGACAATGAAAGGCCACTCAAGAGGTTGAGGGCTCAAGTTGCGGCTGGACAACTTTTCAGGCTGCCCACTGGAGATGATGTGACAGTGCAGGGTGAATTCCAGCGCCTCACAAAGACTAGCGTGTTGTGCGTGTTGGAGATGCATGCAAAGCGGAAACAGAAGAAGTACAGAGAGGACCCACCTGACACGAGGTCCCAGAGGTTTGAGTTGTTGCGGAAGAAGTATGCGCTCCTTCTGGCACAGGTGATGATCAACGCAGAGCTGCCGGTGGTCACGGTGATCAATTCATTGGAGGACCCAAAGGCAAGTTGGGTTCACCTCTTTGCTGCGAGGAGAGGTAACACTGTCAAGAACAGGTACAAGGCTTGGAAGCCATTTGAACGTTGGTTGGAAACCCACAAGGGTTGTCTTTTCCCTCGGGATGTGAGAGATGCCATTGACTACTTGCAGCACAGGATCAACGAGGGGTGCGGGAAGACAGTCCCGGACTCATTGAATGCGACCTTGGTGTTGCTGGAGCAGACCGGCAGAGTGATGGAGTGTAACAGGATTTCAGATGATCCAGTGTGGAAGGGCCACATCAAATCGTGGTCAGCCGAGCTCGCAGCAGAAGCTGCACCGCGGAAGCCTGCAGAGATGTACACGGTGGCCATGGTCATTTCACTTGAGCTCACAGTGGTGGACACGGCGCTCCCTGCATTCCACCGCGCATTGGCATGGATAGTGCTATGCATGCTCTGGGCAGCACTGAGGTGCGACGACGTGCAGGCGATTTTGCCTCACAGGAGCATGCTTTCAAATTTTGGTTTGAGGTTGGTGCTCGGGAAGACCAAGACAACAGGTCCTGACAAGATGCAGAAAGAAGTAGCGGCATTTGTGTACCGTACAACTTCGATTTCTGGTGAAGACTGGCTTCGAGCAGGCTTTGAAGTTTGGGAGTCAGATGAGTTTCGGTTCAGACGGGACTACATGGTTATGGAACCAGCTGCGGATTGGAGCAAAGTTAGGAGGAAGTTCCTGACGCCGGCTGGGCTGAGCTCTGAGATTTCAAAGCTCTTGAGCCTTTTGTGTGTCCCACGGAGGGCTGGGCACGGTTGGGAGCTTATGCCACATGTTTTGTTGCTGCCAGATGGTTTGGAGTCATTTTTCAGTGGTCACAGTCCTCGAAACTTCCTCACTTCGATTGCCGCTGCAATTGGATTTTCCAGGGATGAGCGTGCATTTCTTGGTAGGTGGACAATGGGCATGACATCTGCTGAAGAGTATGTGAGGACTTCTAGACAGGTTGTTTTCAAGATTCAACGTGCTGTCAACCGAAGTCTTGTTGAAGGGAAGGATGAGCAGTACTTCGAGGACGAGGCCATCCAAAGGCTTTGTGATGCTGCAGAGATGTCAGGTGCAAACCCAAACAGAATCAAGAAACGTCATACGGTGTTGACAAACTGGTCTGGCCGCAATTCTCTTGGTGGAATTTTTCCAACAATTGAGGTGTTTGATGACGATTTGCAGGAGCCTGACAATTCTCTTGAGGCCCAGGTTGCTTTGGCAGAGTCGGTGGCCAAGTTGAATGAAAGGGAGGCAACTCTTGCCCCAAAACCCACCAAATACTTCATCACAATTTCCAGAAGGACTTCACTGAGGAGGTTGCATTTGACTGGATGTTTCGTCAAACCTGATCGGTGTTGTGAAGTGTTGCACATTGATGAAATTTGCAGCGATGAGTTTGATTCCATTTGCCAAGCTTGCAAGCGCAAGATGTTGTCAGAGTGTGGCAGAGACGATGGCGGGGAGACGTCGTCAACGGCGTCGTCATCGTCGACGGCTTCTGGTGCAGACCTCAATGGATGAAGTGTCCATGCATTGCGTTTGAACGCGCATCAAGGTGGGTAGTTTGCAGTGAGTTGCAAGTTTGAACCACAATGACATGCAGGGTAGGGACTGTCACAAGTGCGTTGAGACGCAGACCTTTTCACTCTTCCAGATCGATTGCTGTGCTTCCTTCGCAGGAAAACCAAGGCTGTTGCAGCAGTTGTCAGATGGTTTTAGTCGCTTCAATTTAGGTTGTGTTATTGTGACAGTTTCTTCACGCTTGTTGTTTGGCATTTTGTGATCACTTGGCATTGTGGGATTTTCAGGCAGGTCCACAGGTTTGATCGATTCAAGCGGATTGCATTCTTGCTGGGGTTGATCGTTTGTTTTCGTGACTTGAGGGTTTCTTGTCTCATTGCATTGCTTGGATTCATTTTGTCAAATCCCTCTCACGTTTTGACGTGGGGACATGTTGATTGAGATGAGTCTCATGTCATAAACCGTTGGCTCAGACCTCAGGGTGCCAACGAGATTTTTCACGTTAAGACTGACATTCACGGTTCAGACCGGATGCCAAGGGTGTGTATTGATATTCATTGAGGTTTGTTCTGTTGTATTTGCTTTGTCATTTTGTTTTGCACTTTCAGTGTGAAGCAAGTGAATTTGCAGTGTCTTCAGTTTTTCTTTGTCTGCATTTGTGTTTTGATTTGAACCGCGTTAGTGGAGGGACTGATCTCACGCGACCTGTGCGCGCTTGTGTGGGACAGAATGGACCCTGCAGCACAAAGGGAATTTGTGAGAGACAACATGGATGCTGACATGCAATTCATACTGGGAGAATCAGGCGTTGGGCTGGAGAATCAAGTTGCGATTGCACGCCATTATGGCACCTTGCGCAAGTTTAGCGCACTGGGGGACGACAGAGCAGCTATTCGAACTTCATGCTTACAAGATTTTGCCATGCCGAACGACACACCGGCAGGCCGTGCACAAGTGGCCTCAGTCGTTGCAGCTTGGGAGACGGCGAAGGAGTACATGGCAAAAGAGATTGAGTTGAAGGCTGAAGCTAAAGTGCTGGGCCAACCAAGGGTGCTTCAGATACATGAGAGGCAGGCTATGCTGAGAGCTGTTGAGGCAGTACATGGCCAGCTCAACGACTCTGAGTGCCCGTCCTCGGACTACCTTTCTTTGAAGGCTGAGGAGACAGAGTGCAATGAGCCGACGGCAGCACCGCTGGACGAGATACTGAGCAAGCAGGCTTCTTCCAATTCACAGATCCAGTCGGCGGTGGACAATACAGGCCACATCAGGGTCACCAGGACCAAGACCAAGGCAAAGATGCCGGTGTCAACGGAGGAATACAGAAAGGTGATGAAGGTGGAGACATACGCATGGCTTGCAATGTCTTCACGTTACAAAGCAAAGCATTGGTTGCATGGATTGACAGCGACACCGTTTCAAAAGTTCACCGAGTATATTTTGGGTGATCGTGTGTATGGGTTGCAGATCCCAACAACATCTTCAGAGACAGCTCAACAACGTGTCAAGCCTGACTGGGCAATTGTTTTGGCTTACGAGCACAAGCTCAGGAAGGAAGCGATGAAAAAGGTGTTGTCTGGGCACACCCTATCTGACGCGCTGGAGGCTGTCATTAAGGACCCGGACCTCAAAGAGGCGTACTTCACAACGCCCATGGCATTGCGTGCATCGATGCCTGAAGCGCAGCCTAACAAGTTCTTGCGCTACAACAACAAGGGTGGGTCTGGCAGTTTCAGTGGCAAGCAGTTTGCACCCTTCACAAAGGGAAAAGGGAAAGGATCAAAGGGCAAGTCGAAAGGCAAGCCTGCAGACCCACGTCTTAAGGGATTGAGCCTGGCTTGGAGGACCCCTGACCAACGTGAACTTTGTTTTGCTTGGAATGCAGGGGATTGTGATGGCAGTTGCGGCAGAGTTCATCAGTGCAGAGTCAAAGGTTGCTATGCCAGCCACAAGGCGGTGGATCATGCCAAGGCCGCTGCTTGACAGGACAGCAGTGCGGCCACACCCAGCAAAGCTGCGCAAACTGTTCTTGGGGATGATACCCCGGTACTCAAAGTGATGTACCTTTTTGCTGGGCGTCAACGCCATTCTGATATAGGGTCATTCTTGAAGAAGGCCTCACAATCCAAAGGTTTCAGACTGGAGTTGATGGAATTCGACATTGAGCGTTCACCAGAGCATGATTTGACAGACGAGAAGTTGTGGGAGCGCATTGGTGACCTTTTGAAGGAAGGTGACTGGGTGCTCATTGTTTCACCACCTTGCAATACATTCAGCAGAGCACGTTTTCAATTGCAGCATCCTGGACCGAAGCCTCTTCGAAATGTGACCTGGCCGAGAGGTTTTCCTTGGCTCAAGAACCGTGACATGCAGAAGGTGGAAGAGGCTAACTTGTTTGTTGACAGGTGTTTAGCAGCTTGTGAAATTGCAGCGGAGTTTGGGGGCGTATTTTTGTTGGAGCATCCTGAAGATTTAGGCGTTGTTCGAGGAGAACGCCCTGGATCCATCTGGCAGTGGACGGAGCTTTTGGAGTTGATTCCCAAGTTGGGAGCGCTGTGAGCTTTGCGTTGCATCAGTGCAATTTTGGGGCCATGACGCCCAAACCTACAAGATTTCTCACTAACATGACAGTGGACGATTCACGATGTTATTGTGCGTTGCCAAAGTTTGACAAGTTTGGATTTTACAAGGGGCCATTGCCTCGACAGTGCGGTCATGAGCACTCCCACAAGCTGATTGGTAAAACAGATTCACAATGGAACACTGCACCGAGTGCATCATACCCACCGTTGTTGTGTGAATTTTTGGCTGGACTCATCTTGCATGCTAAGGCATCCTTCGGAAGGGGGTTGGTCGATGAGTCAGTTCAGGCTCCTGGCAAGAGAAGGAGATTACAATCTGGCCATACTGAGCCTTCAACAGGGCTGGCGTTGCAGTCCAGCTCAGTTGCCAAACATAGCATGGTTTCAGGGGAGCGAGGTTGCAAGCAGGTTGAGGATTCTGGAAAAGAAATGGGGGAGTCCCCCGCGCGACAGAGTAACATGGATGCAGGGTCACAAAGCATTGATGATGAACAGAAGTGGCCTGACAATGGAAGCGATGAATTTGATTTGGCAGCCTGTTGCAATTCTGGTACACCAATTGGTGTGGAGTGGGACACGGTCCGGAGAGGTTTTATCGATGGTTTTGGGCTGTGCAGTCCATGCAGGTGGAAACCTTCAAGGAGAGGGGATGGACGTACATCGGATATGGTCAAGTTGGCTGATGATACTTACAAGATTCTTGCAGATGCTGTTACTGCAGAAATTAAGGATGTGCGGCGAGAAGCTTTCAAACTGGTGACAGGCAAGTTGCTTGAGTCACCTTTCTCCGAGAGTTGTCTGGAGAGGGTCAGATCGAAGTGGTTTGCATTGCTGGATGATCCTCAGAGTGCGGCCGTGGTAGATGATGGACAACCATTTTATTTGAGGGCACTTTCTCAGTGGCTCAAGCGTTTCAATGATCCAGATGTTCACTGGTTGACTGACGTTGAGGATTCATTTGCTTCTGGGGTTTTCGTTGGGGTTGACAAGCAGCTACCGAGATCACCGCAGGTCTTTCCTCCCAAGCTGAAACATAGAAAGCTGGATGAAACAGAGTTTGTGCCGATTGCAGAGAACTATGCTTCTGCCCAAGTTTCGGCAAAGGAGCTTGAGGACAAGTTTAGGGAGGAGGAGAGTTTGGGCCGCATGCATCCCTCTAAGCTGGGTGTCCTTAAACAGGAGTTTGGAGATTCTTTGAGAGTGGCGTCGATGGCTGCAATCATGAAGCCAGACGGAACTGTGAGGCCTTTGCATGACGCCACCCACTCGGTGATGGTGAACCACAGCATTGTTTACAGGGACAAGATAGATTGTCCGGGCCCTGCTGAAATAGCCTCTATCGTGCGCGAGGCAACATCAACTGGAGAGGCCCCCTTTTGCGTGAGCGCCGACATTAAAGCTGCTCACAGGTTGGTCAAGATTAGAAGACGCGATTGGGGTTACTTGTGTTGCCGTGCAGACTCAGGTTCCAGCACAGTTTGGGTTAACCACACTGGCACTTTCGGTGTGGCAAGTGCACCATACTGGTGGGCGAAGCTGGCTGGTCTCATTGGGAGGTTTGTTGGCCACATGTTCCACAAGCGCTGGTTGATGCACATGATTTACGTTGACGATTTGCATGGTGCGTTTGTGGGGTGCGAGAAGTTCTTGCATCTATGGGTTTGGGTCCTGGCGTTTGAGATGGTGGGCACACCGTTCGGATACCACAAGTTCAAAGGGGGGTTCGCTTCTGAGTTTGTTGGATACCACATCAGATATGACTTGTCCCAAGTTGGGATCACAGTCAAGCGAGGTGACTGGCTGGTGCAGTGGATCTTAAAGGTGAGATCCAATGGATATGTGGTACCAGCCAGGGAGTTCGCTGAATTTTTGGGGCGGCTTGGTTTCATTTCACAACTCATCACTTGGTTGAAGCCCCACTTGGCGCCACTTTATGCCTGGTCAGCAGTGACTGCGAGGGGCACAGTTGGGCGCTTGCCGGAGACAATCATTTTGACCTTGAGGTACATTGAAGTTCAGCTGACAACAGGGTCATACATGGTTTCAACACGTTGGCCACAAATGATAACTGGTGAGAGGTTCCGTACTGATGCAAAGTGCGCTGACGGGTACATTGTCCTTGGGGGTTGGGAGCTTGAGTCAAAGAGGTGGTTCAGTTTGCGTATTGGGCCAGCGGAGGCTCCCTTCCTTTTCAAGCCTGATGGAGCTTCACAGTGGGCATCTACGGCAGCTGAACTCTTAGCCACGTTGGCTGCCCTACATGCGTTTGGTTGGCTTGAGGAAACAATGGAAAGGAAGACTTTAGAAGTACATTTGGTTGCGGGTACAGACAACTTGGCCAACCAGGCCTTATCGACCAAACGCTCAACGACGAAGTGGCCGTTGATGGCAGTGAACATGCAGTTATCAGCAGCGCTCACGAGGGCTAGGCTGTCATTAGGCCTTCAGTGGAGGCCGAGGGAAGAGAACACGGAGGCTGACCAACTAACAAATGAAGAGTTTTCAGGCTTCAGGGAGGATCAGAGGGTGGTGTTGACTTGGAGCAGTTTAGAGTTGTCTGTCTTGATGGAATTGGTGAGGACGAGGACAGAGTTTGATCTTGCGAGGGACGCGGCAAGAGAGGCCGCCAAAGTGGCACCAAAGTTGCGCAAGGGAAATGTGGACAAGTCACCATGGTGATGGTCGGTGGGTCCTCATTCAGTCACCTCTTCTGAAGGTGGGATTTCTTTGAGAGGTTCCTGAACGATCCTCTCCTTTCTCAAAACTGGCTTGCTGCAATATTTCTGGCCTAAGGGCTCCCTTTACAGTGTCACTACGACTGCTGGATGTTTTGCGTTTATTGCCGAGATGGCATTGACAACAAATCGAGGCGCATCTCGATACAATGGGGAATTTGCAGCAACCATTTAGTGGAGTCGCGCAAGACCTCACCACCCAGAGAAAAGTGCGAGTGTCCGAGTGATCCTCCAGTTCATCCATCTTGAGTTTTGTGCATGGCTGATTTTGTGGTTTCCTTGTTTTGCAGTTTCATGTGGATTTCGAAAGTTTCAGTTGTGGATGTTCGAGATTGATTTGCGTTTACGTTGTTTGGAGAGTTCTCCGTTTTGGAGTTTTGCGAAAGAATCTGAGACCCTCACCTGTCCAAAACTGTGCGTAGCGTAGGCTCCACTGGGCGCGCTCAGTGTGTCTATGTGAAGCACAGTTTTGGCCGGGTGGGTGGGTGGAGCTTTATGTTTGGGTTCTTGCCCATTGCCTCAGTGGGTTCGTGGATGTCGCGAAGGTTCACTTTATTTGGTTTTACTGACTGCTGCAAAAGACGTTTTTGCTTTGACACTTTTGGAAGATGTTCAGACGAAGTTGCTTCTTGATTTATTTTCAGGAGATGCAGTTCAATACAGTTTGGTTGCCTGTGCTTTGCTGTCTTTCTCAAACGTTGCTTTTATTCAAAGATTTGTCGGTTGCTTGAGTTGAAACAAATTGGAAACAAGTTGAACGTGGAGTTCATGTCACTGGAAGTCATACAATATTTATATTCCGACGAAGCTTGGGCTATCAAAGAATTTCAGGTACCCATCCCAGCCCACCCTGAGCGGGGTGAGGTTGGACTATACTTGCGTGAACTGGATTTCTTTGAGAGGTTCCTGAACGATCCTCTCCTTTCTCAAAACTGGCTTGCTGCAATATTTCTGGCCTAAGGGCTCCCTTTACAGTGTCAGTACGACTGCTGGATGTTTTGCGTTTATTGCCGAGATGGCATTGACAACAAATCGAGGCGCATCTCGATACAATGGGGAATTTGCAGCAACCATTTAGTGGAGTCGCGCAAGACCTCACCACCCAGAGAAAAGTGCGAGTGTCCGAGTGATCCTCCAGTTCATCCATCTTGAGTTTTGTGCATGGCTGATTTTGTGGTTTCCTTGTTTTGCAGTTTCATGTGGATTTCGAAAGTTTCAGTTGTGGATGTTCGAGATTGATTTGCGTTTACGTTGTTTGGAGAGTTCTCCGTTTTGGAGTTTTGCGAAAGAATCTGAGACCCTCACCTGTCCAAAACTGTGCGTAGCGTAGCAATTCTAGGCAGCGGACGAAACCTACAGTTGCCGCGCGCAAAAACAGAAATTAATTGAACTTTCCTTTTAAATCCTGTCGCACCTGCTGGCATCGTCCGGCCCCATAGATTTGAGGTTTGAACAAGGTTTGCTTGAGGTTTGTACATATGAAAAACCAGCATGCCAGAGCTTTGCCACTTGAAGTGTTCCTGCCATTGTAAAGTGTCCGATGGGACGTGTATTCCGAGTTTGTTCGAGGTTTGTACATATGAAAACACAGCATGTTAGAGTACTGGCAGCCAGCGTGCTTTTCTTGAGTCTTTTCCGGGCGGGTTGATGCTTGCTCATGTTGCCGGAAGCGTTAGCACAGACCTCAATGTTTGAGAGAGAATGGCAAATCCATGTGTCTCACAGGCAGATTGCCATTCAGCAACTACTGCGTCAGTAGTCTGGCTGCTGGCTTCAGATTTCATCTTTACTCTATGTGTATCCCCTTGCCCCGGAATTTTAATATTGGATGTTGTGCAAACGAGAAGCTTCTTAGATTGATCGCACACCGGCGCGTTCGATTTTTCACGTTTATGTTTGTATCAACATTGGTCTTGGGGGCAGGGGGGGAGCTCGTTGAATCTAATTCAAGCTTTGGAAAGTATTGTGATCCTGGAGACTCATGAGTGTACCTCCTCAGTGTCAACATGATACAGAAAAAACGGTGTATGATCTTCGATTCTGGCATGATGACGCATGAAGAGAGTCACGTGCTTCGCTGGTTGAAGAATGGAACTTTATGCTAGACATACGCCTAGGTTGTGCGAGCATCTGTAAAAGGGTTGTCGGGCACATTCACTGGGAGTTTTTTTTTTGGCGCCGCAACATTTCTTTTCGTTTTGGACAGTTTGTGTCTCTTTTGACAGGCCATTTTTAGTTTCAATTTCTGGGAGACCGCTTCTATTGTTTCATTAGGCGAAGCCAAAAATGGCTTCATTTTTGGGATCAATTTTTGGCTTCGAGTTTGGAGCCAAAATCTATCTTTTTTGGCGTTTGTGGCAGGTAATTCCCGATTGACTTGTGTTGGACGCGACAGGATGCGAGCAGAGTGAGTTGTTGCTGCTCTGCTATGGTTCTACAAGCATGATTCCGGCAGCTTCGCTCTGAAACAAATCCCTTGCCACAGGCTGCTCCATGGTGGTGTATCCATGAGTTGACACATGCTGCCTTCTAGGCTTCAAGACGATGCAGCGGAACAGTACTTGCACCACTCAGACTTCTCCAGCACCCGTAGTAAGGAGTCCAAACTCTCGACCGGTTTGTGCTAGGGATGCACTGTCTCAAGCGCTTTTACTCACTGTTTTTTCTCTTCAGGCAGGGTAGCGGCCGGGGCGCTAGTTTCTAGGGTCACAAAGGAAACAGCATGTGCAGAGGGATCTATTGCAGGTTCTGGCACGCGAGCTGAACCACTTGAAGCAGCAGCACAAAGCATTGCGACAGGCATCTCAACTGTGTTGCTTTGGCTTGCAGATGCAATTTGTCACTGTTTTCTGATGTTGGCCCTCTTGAGACCATCGCGGAGAACAAGAAAGAACAGTCGGCAGCAAAGCACCGCCAGCGGTTGCTAAAAGCAGCCCAACAGCCGCCAAGCTAGGATGTGTGTTTTCCCACAGCGCGGAGCGTATAGTTGGTTCAATTCGATAAAGAAAACCCTACTTAAAAAAATATATTTCTTAGAATGTAAGCTGACCGGCAAAATGGATCTCAGCGCGCAGCGTTTAGTAGGGTACTAAACCGTCTGGCCCGCAGCACCAAAATTGCGTTCTCGCCACAGCGCGGTGGGTTAGTTGGACTCTTTGTTTGTACGATTATTTTATAGATTCCATTTGTTTGCGTAACGGGCGCAGCACTTGAGAACCCCGTACGGCCATCTAAAAGGTTGAAGCGCGGCAGGCGCAGCGCTTGAGAACCCTGTACGGCCATCTTAAAAGTTGAAGCGCGGCAGGGGCAGCGCTTGAGAACTCCGTGCGGCCATCGTAAAGGTTGAAGCGCTGCAGGCGCAGCGCTTGAGAACCCAGTACGGCCATCTTTCCTTGCATGGCCCCCACACGGGCCAACCACAAACTGAACCCCTGCGACCCCATTGTCAATGTTGAGGGTGTGTTGATGCTATTGCAACTAAGAAGTGAATTCCAATTTGAGGATGTGACCTGAGGCAGGGGTTCTTTTTGATGGCTATCAGTTCAAAAGGTGAAACTGCAACATTTAAGCTTCCGTCCAACATTGAAGATGGGGCGCGGGGATTTAAACATACGTCAAATCCTCATCTTGGATTTGCAAACTGCAAGTCTGGAGTCTGGAAGCGCAAACATCGAAGATTCCCCTTTGCAGGAGGCACTCTTGGGAATGCCGATGTCGGGATTCTCCACAGGAAGTGTAAATCTGAACACCACAAGCCGCTTTTGAAGCACCTATAAATCTCCGAGCGTCACACCGGCTTTCGGTGTGTGTAGATAGCCCAATCTTCCAGTGAAGAAAAAGGGGAGCTACAGCAATCATAGCTGAGAGTCAAAGATCGCGTTTATCTTTCGTCTTGGTGGAGGCTTCAGGTTGGGCCTGCCACTGTGATGGGCGCTGTCCTTCTGCTGCAAGAGCGCTGTTGATTTCCAACCACATTGATGAGAAAGAGTTCACTACTGCAATTTTTTCAGCTTTGTTCCATGGACGGGGCAAGCAACGAAAGATAGCTTTGTTGGGTTCCTCTGCAGATGAGGGAAATCTTTCATCTGGGCCCCAATGAAGGAGATCTAACCGCAGGGCAGTGTGTGCTTGGCACCATCGGCTTCCGCCTTTCCACTGCTCCATGTGGAGGCGTCAAATAAAAGTATCCAGCTGCGCTTCAACCTTTAAGATGGCCGTACGGGGTTCTCAAGTGCTGCGCCCGTCACGCAAAAAATGAATCTCTAAAATAATCGTGCAAACAAAGAGTCCAACTAACCCACCGCGCTGTGGCGAGAACGCAATTTTGGTGCTGCGGGCCAGACGGTTTAGTACCCTACTAAACGCTCCGCGCTGTGGCGTGAGATCCATTTTGGCCGGTCAGCTCACATTCTAAGAAAGATTTTTCCCCACATTGACGTGTGGGGTTTTTGTTCCCCACATTGACGTGTGGGGTTTTTGTTTTTAGTTCTGTATCCGCTCCTCGTCCTCCTCCTCCTCCTCTTCCTTCCCGTCCTCCCTCCTCACTCACACTCACTCACTCTCACTCACTCACACTCACTCACTCTCACTCACTCACTCACACTCGCTCACTCTCACTCACACACACACATACCCTCACTCACACACACTCACCCACTCACACTCACTCACTCTCACTCACTCACACTCACTCACTCACACACACACACTCTCACTCACTCACTCACTCACTCACTCTCACTCACACACACACACTCGTTTGCGTGACAGGTGTGGGACAATGTGCATTGCCAAGGGATCTCCGCCGCTTTTGCGTGGCAGGCGTGGGACAATGTGCACTGCCAAGGGATCGGATGTACGCCCCGGGGTTCCGCTAGCGTCCCTGGGTCTCCGCCGCTTTTGCGTGGCAGGCGTGGGACAATGTGCACTGTCAAGGGGTCGGAT